GGGATCTCATCAAACTAAAGAGCTTCTGCACAGCAAAAGAAACTACCATCAGAGTGAGCAGACAACCTACAGAATGGGAGAAAATTTTTGCAATCTACTCATCTGACAAAGGGCTAATATCCAGAACCTACAAAGAACTCAAACAAATTTACAAGAAAAAAACAAACAACCCCATCCAAAAGTGGGCAAAGGATATGAACAGACATTTCTCAAAAGAAGACATTCATACAGCCAACAGACACATGAAAAAATGCTCATCATCACTGGCCATCAGAGAAATGCAAATCAAAACCACAATGAGATACCATCTCACACCAGTTAGAATGGCGATCATTCAAAAGTCAGGAAACAACAGGTGCTGGAGAGGATGTGGAGAAATAGGAACACTTTTACACTGTTGGTGGGATTGTAAACTAGTTCAACCATTATGGAAAACAGTATGGCGATTCCTCAAGGATCTAGAACTAGATGTACCATATGACCCAGCCATCCCATTACTGGGTATATACCCAAAGGATTATAAATTATGCTGCTATAAGGACACATGCACACGTATGTTTATTGCAGCACTATTCACAATAGCAAAGACTTGGAATCAACCCAAATGTCCATCAGTGACAGATTGGATTAAGAAAATGTGGCACATATACACCATGGAATACTATGCAGCCATAAAAAAGGATGAGTTTGTGTCCTTTGTAGGGACATGGATGCAGCTGGAAACCATCATTCTTAGCAAACTATCACAAGAACAGAAAACCAAACACCGCATGTTCTCACTCGTAGGTGGGAACTGAACAATGAGATCACTTGGACTCGGGAAGGGGAACATCACACACCGGGGCCTATCATGGGGAGGGGGGAGGGGGGAGGGATTGCATTGGGAGTTATACCTGATGTAAATGACGAGTTGATGGGTGCAGCACACCAACATGGCACAAGTATACATATGTAGCAAACCTGCACGTTGTGCACATGTACCCTACAACTTGAAGTTTAATAATAATAAATAAATTAAAAAAAAAAAAAGAAAAATAAAATAAATATGTACCATATGTATTTTACAACTGTTACATTTTATTAATATACATATAAGAATGAATTAAAATCCTTTAACATTTGATTGTCTGAATGAAGCCTTAATACTTTTTTCATTATTATTGGCGTTTTCAAAGGGAAAAATTATAATAGCACATAAATGCCTAATACACATGAAAACTTTTTATTCTCATTTGAAAATAACTTAAGTCACAGTTTAAGTTATTTGGTCTAAAATTACTGGTTGTTAGCCTTTTTTGGGTTTACGAAGAATTCATACATATATCATCACATTTGGTCCCCCCAACAACCCTTTGAAATTGATTCAAAATTTGCTTTTAGTTTATTATTATTTTCCCATATTTATAGATGTGATCATTAAAGCACAATTAAGTTAGTGACTTCTCCCCTGAGAACCAGGGCTCTTACTTGATTGTAAAATGAAAATTCTGGGCTCTTCCCACTGTACTTGCCTCTCTCTACACATGTATTCAAATGTTGTTCTTCTTGGTAAGATGACGTATGCTTTACAATATGTCTCCCAAGCTAATCCTTTGAGAGCAGGACCAGACACATTCCAGGCCCCCTCACTCTAGCATCCTCACCTCTTTGTGGTCAAAAACATGTGTGTAAAACAGCTGTCCAGAATCACAGCACAGTTTGCATGTCAGCGGAACCTCGGCCATTATCTAAATGACAACTTTTAGGGGATGAAGTCAAAAAAGGCCAAGCACGAACAATACTGAAGACCAAGTTCCCTTTGGACCTCAATTCCCTAAGTGTTTAAAAGGAAAGCTTCATCCTGTCCTTAATTTATTTGGATCTTACATAAAGGCTAAAGTTTGTGAAGCCTTTGAAGATACAAAAACATTTTTTTTTTTCCATTCGGTAGTGGTGAATTTCCTTGCCAAAGACTTCAGCGTTAGGGGAAGTATTATGCTAAGCTCTGCATCCCACAGGGGTCATCATGACTTCCAAAAATATCCACAAGGGAGCACTGGGTGAGGAAACTGGAGCTAAAAAGTAACACACACACACGCCAGTTGTTACCATAGTTACAACAGGAAAGGCCATAAAAGGTGTACTTTTATTTTGTTTCTATAAGCAGTGAGATATAAGCCTTGTGTGATTCAGGATCACTGGGGTGAATAATCCTAGCTCTATCTGTAGGGTTTTGTCACAGTTTCCCTGAGTTTAAACATGTAACAGGGCAGCAGAAGGAGGGATAAATGATTTGTGTATGCTCAATAAAGATGTTGCTACCGTTCTATCAGCTAACCTTTGCTCTCTTAACCTGCATAAACTTGCAGTCTTTATTTATTCTCCTACCAGCAAATTACTGGAATTCAGAGTCATGTCTAATTTTAGTTAGCTTAGGGATGGCACTCGACAGGGTTATAAAAGGGGGAGAACATCTCTCTCATTCCTGAATTTCCGAGCCTGGATTATGGTAAAGCTGTGGAGATCACAGTAATTGAGATTTCCCAGGACACTCCCATAGTGGGTTATGCTTCCCAAATCTGACTTTCTAAGCATAACGGAATCTGGCCTAACCTGTCTTCCAATATTTGAGTCTGTTCTATAGCACCCCTGTCAGAGTGGTTTGTGTTCTTCACTTTGATAAAAACTTTTTTCGTGATGCGTCACTACAGTTTGAGCCAGGTGATTTCATCTTTAGACAGCTGTGATAGATAATAATGATACAATAAGAAACAATCAAGACTTTTTAACGGGTTACTATGTGTGAAATACTATAAAAGTGCCTGTAATTTCATTTGATTCTCAGAATGACCCAATGAGGTAGATAAGTATTATTATCACTTCCATTTTACAGACAAAAAACTAAGGCTTAGCATAGTGAAGCAACTCCTGCAGTGCCGCACAGCTATGAAATGTCAGGTCAGAACCCAGGGAAACTGGATCCAAAAACCTGAGAGAAAGCTATATCCTTTAACTTCTTCACCCAAAGCTGAAATCTGCTTCCTTGTTCTATCCTCCGATGACCCATGGAAAAAAAATCTCTTCCACTACTTGCTCTTCAGATACTTAACCCAACTTTCAGGCCTTTTTTTTTTGCATTCTTTTCAGGCCACAGGACACTGTTTTCAGGTGTTCATTCCCCAAATCCCCTAAATCATTTGGCTTATTGTAGTAGCTGTCTAAAGGTCTGGCTGCTCTGTCCCCTCTTCCTCACCCAGCCGCCAAGGCCATGCTGAAAATACAAGTCCAATCACCTCATTCCTCTGCTCAGAACACTTCTGCAGTTTTTCCTGTCACTCAAGGTAAAACCTTAAGTCAACTTGAAGATTATATAGAATTGTCTACTGAAATTACCTTTCCAAAATCGATGGTTCCCAATTATGCTGAGCCATAACAATAGTTTTCTTACTCTTAAAAATAAAAGATGACAAGGCCCCATGATATGTCCCCCACATCCCATGCCCTCCTCCCTATTCAGACTTGTTCCAGGCACAGAGGCCTGCTTGCTGTTCCCTGAACATGCCAGCCCCTCTTCCTGGAATTCCTGACTTGGAATATCCACACCTGGTTCTTTCCTGCCCCTCTTTCCATCTCCCCTTCAGAGTCACCTGATCAGTGAGGCCTTCTCTGACTGCTTTATCTTAAGTAGTAAATCTCTCCCCTTGCTGGTATTCTCTCTTTTCTTTCATTTCTCTATTTTTCTCCATAGCACTTATCACCATCTGACTTACTGTTTATCTTACTTATTTGGTTTTTGCCTGCCCTCTCCCCCTTCCACCCACATTAGAATGTAAGCTCCAGGAAAGCAAAACATTTTATCTTCTTAGTTCAGTTCTAAGGTTGAATCATAAGGAACTGGCCCACAAAATAACAATTTTGTTTGAGTCAACCTATCATACCCCCAGCACTTAAGAGCAGCCCTTGGCAGACAGTAGCACTCAAGTAGTTAGTGAGTAAACAACTTACCTATATATGGAATACTACAAACATTATACGATACAGCCTTTATACACTTTACTAGCCTGGGTAAGAAATTTACCATCAGCTGGTCAGATTTGTGATACCATCTCTGTAGGTCTTCCTGATCCTATGTGGAGCCAAATATAGATGGATATGCAAATAAATATTAAGAACACGTTTGCTGATATATTGAACCTAGTTTTTAACAGTACGATGTGATATTTTTTTCACAGCACTCACTAGTAATTTTAACACTCATCTGTCAGTCTTAGAGCAACCTATGTTCAAAAGGGCAACTTCCCTTATCGATTGGTAGGATCTGCTTGGATTCAAGGTTAAGTCTTTCTTAAGCTAAATTAAGGCAGTGATTTTGCACAATCACCTGCCATAGTATGGCCTGTTTATCTTACTACCACTGTGCTTACATAGAGGAGTGAGTGTTCTTGAGAAAATAATGATGAATTAATAATAATGTTCCACTTGAAATCTCTCTGTTGATCTTTAGCTTATAATGAAGATGTAGCTGAAAATTATTGTAGAAACAAACTTTTTCACAGGGCACCATTTGCTACTGGTAGATGAGACACAGTATATTTGATTCACTTTAACAATGTTTCAGTCATTTTGTTAAAAACTGCCAGAAATTCTAGTGTTAAGAAATAGAAGCACTATGATGGAATAGATTGTAGAATAAGATAAGAAAACCTAGGATAAAGATTGTAGGTCTGAAAGAGTAATCCTTATTGTTGATCACAAGGTGTTGTAGAAATCGTTGTCAAACCCAAGTCATCCCTTTGATTACCATTTCAAGTTATTCACCGTTAATTTGCAGCACTTCTTACGAAAAGTTGAAGCTTTTTGTTCTCACACACTGAGAGCCAGGAGACAGCTTAAAATGTTTAAACAGACATAAAAAAGCCTTTTCCCCCTTCATTTAAAAAGCCCCTTATGAATCACCAATCAGCAATAATTCTCACATTCATCTCAAAGTTAATATAAAGCATTAGTTTTTTTATACCCACAACAAAACATGGACCTGCAGAAGTTTTCAAGCAATCCTCCAGCAGCTTCATGCGGGTCTTCTGGAGCTCTGGGCTGTCCCAGTCATCTTCCTCCACTCCCCAGTACAGATCTATGACCTGGGGACAAATGGATGAAGAGCATTAATTTACCTGTGGGCTTTGTTCTTATTTACAATGTCAAGCTAATGTGACTTTTAACTTTTCTCTTTGCAGCACGTTTTCTCTTACAGAGGGGAGGTGATTTTTAAGATCCAATTAAAGAGATTTTTCATTCCATGATGGGTTGGGAATGAACCTTATAATTTCTTATTTTGTTTCTGATTACAATGCTGACATGGGCCCAGAGAAAATGAAATGCTAACTGTTGAAGGTTTTGGAGCATGGGCTTTTGTTGTCTTGAAATGGAAACAGAATTTCAAGGTTTGAAGCAGCTGGGATGAGGTTACCATAGTACTTGAGACAATTAAATCACTATACGTATATAATGTTACCATAAGTATTAATATGAGAAAGGAAAACCATAACAAATATTACTATATACTGATTGTAAGTCAAACACCTACATTTCTTAAAAAAAAAAAAGCCCTGTCATTATCATGCTTTATCATATGAGGAGAGATATTTTGCTTATGTCTGTTTTATCTGTAAGTAGTTCGGCTTTCATCAACATATATCTGAAAAACATGTACTGGCAAAAATGAAAGGTATGCCTTACACAGAAGCGAGGATAATAGGATCCTCTATCTCCCTACTTCAAAGACTATTAAGGAAGATTCTGGCAGTCTATAACAAACTTTTACAAGTTTGCTCTTTGAAAAGTGCTATGGAGAGCATCCTGGGTTTCATTACCTTCACTCAACTGCTATCTGCATAAAGTAAATGTTCCCAGTTGTAGCTTTGAAAATTTCTTCTTTTCCTTTCCTTGCTTCCCACAAGTGGAAACAATGACCCTCCCTACTCTTTTCCTCCTGCTTGCACGGCATTTGGTGAGATGGAAGCTCAGAGTATGGGTCCTCCCTTGTGGCCCCAGCAGATCTTGGGGACTTTGTGTGCTTCCCATTTCTTGGCTATGGGCCCTCACAGATCTGGCTTGTTCCAGGTCTTTGTCTAAGTGCATTTGAGTGTTTAAGAAGGCTGATAGATAAATGGCAGCTCTTTAAAAAATATTCTCATGGCCCATTCCATGGGTTTCATAATATAGGAAAATATCAGCATTTTGATTTTGGGGGCTCTATGCTTTAATCTATCTTACAAAGTTTAATTACACAATACGAAGAAAGGGGACATCAAAGAAGGTAACTTCATTACCCAATTTGAGAGCCTGTAGCTGGGGCTACTTAAAAAGTAAAAATAAATGGGTAAAAATTAAAGAATTCAGTTCCTCAAGTGCTCAGTAGCCCCATACTGGTTCTCATGTTGGATAGAGGAGATACAGAGTATTTCACATCACAGTAAGTTCCACTGGACAGAGCTGTAAATTACTGAGCTTCAGAAGGGCACAGAAATCATCTAGTAATAAAAGAATAAACAGGGATACAAAATAGTCTAATTTGTTAAATAATGGACAGCTCATAATTTGCAAAGGGTCATGTTTCCAGAAAATGAAAAAATAAAGAAAATATTTATGGCTTATCTGTTGTTAATCTTTCTGGGTGTTTTCTGTGCCACAGAGTACCTTTTGGTAAATTAATGTCCTGCCACACTAGGATTTGTTTCTAATGTTTCAGAATACAAAAGATGAACTTTTCCACCTCACCATCCTTGGGAAGGATATCCCAGAGCTGCTGCAAATGCTGAGAAAGTGTCTCCCTCAGTGGAAGCAGAATCCCCTTCACATGCTAATCTGGTCTCCTGTCATGAGAAGGACAGTAAGAGCCTTGGTTGAACAATGGGTTAAGAAAAGCTGGTAAGTAGACTGCCTCTCTAGGTTCCTCCTCTCTAGGCAGGGTTTCTCTGAAAGAAAGGCAGCAGCCCCACTCAGGGACTTGTAGATAAAACTCCCAACTCCCTGGGACAGAGTGCCTGGGGAAAGGGGCGGCAGTGGGCACAGCTTCAGCAGAGTTAAATGTTCCTGCCTATCAGCTCTGAAGAGAGCAGCAGATCTCCCAGCACAGAGCTCAAGCTCTGCTAAGGGACAGGCTGCCTCCTCAGGTCAGTCCCTGACTCCCATGCCTCCTGACTGGGAGACACCTCCCAGTAGGGGTCGACAGACATCTCATACAGGAAAGCTCCAGCTTTCATCTGGTTGGTGCCTCTCTGTGAAGAAGCTTCCAGAGGAAGGAACAGGCAGCAATCTTTGCTGTTCTGCAGCCTCTGTTGGTGACACCCAGGCAAAAAGCATTTGGAGTGGACCTCCAGCAAACTCCAGGAGACCTGCAGCAGACGGGCCTGAGTGTTGGAAGGAAAACTAACAAATAGAAAGGAATAGCATCAACATCAACAAAAAGGACGTCCACACACCCCATCCTAAAGTCGCCAGCATCAAAGACTAAAGGTAGATAAATCCATGAAGATGAGGAAAAACCAGCGCAAAAAGCCTGAAAATTCCAAAAACCGGAATGCCTCTTCTCCAAAGGATCACAACTCTTTGCCAGCAAGGGAACAAAACTGGATGGAGAATGAGTTTGATGAATTGACAGAAGTAGGCTTCAGAAGATGGGTAGTAACAAACTCCACCAAGCTAAAGGAGCATGTTCCAACCCAATGCAAAAAAGCTAAGAACCTTGATAAAAAGTTACAGGAACTGCTAACTAGAATAACCAGTTTAGAGAAGAACATAAATGATCTGACAGAACTGAAAAACACAGCATGAGAACTTCGTGAAGCATACACAAGTATCAATAGCTGAATCAATCAAGCAGGAGAAAGGATATCAGAGATTGAAGATCAACTGAATGAAATAAAGCATGAAGACAGGATTAGAAAAAAAAGAATGAAAAGAAATGAACAAAGCCGCCAAGAAATATGGGACTATGTGAAAAGACCAAACCTAAGTTTGATTGGTGTATCTGAAAAGTGCCGGGGAGAGTGCAACCAAGTTGGAAAACACTCTTCAGGATATTATCCAGGAGAACTTCCCCAACTGGTAAGACAGGCCAATATTCAAATTCAGGAAATACAGAGAACACCACACAGAAACTCCTTGAGAAGAGAAACCCAAAGACACATAATCATCAGATTCACCAAGGTTGAAATGAAGGAAAAAATGTTAGGGTGCAGCCAGACAGAAAGGGGGGGAAAGGGAAGCCCATTAAAATAACAGCAGATGTCTCTGTAGAAACCCTACAAGCCAGAAGAGAGTGGGGGCCAATATTCAACATTCTTAAAGAAAAGAATTTCCAACCCAGAATTTCATATCCAGCCAAACTAAGCTTCACAAGCAAAGCAGAAATAAAATCCTTTATGGACAAGCAAATGCTGAGAGATTTTGTCACCACCTGGCCTGCCTTACAAGAGCCCCTGAAGGAAGCACTAAATATGGAAAGGAAAAACCAGTACCAGCCACTGCAAAAACATACCAAATTGTAAAGATGATTGACACTATGAAGAAACTGTATCTATCAACTAATGGGCAAAATAACCAGCTAGCATCATAATGATAGGATGAAATTCACATATAACAATATTAACCTTAAATATAAATGGGCTAAATGTCCCAATTAAAAGACACAGGTTGGCAAATTGAATAAAGTGTCAAGACCCATCAGTGTGCTGTATTCAGGAGACCCATTCATGTGAAAGGACACACATAGGCTCAAAATAAAGGGACGGAGGAATATTTACCAAGCAAATGGAAAGAAAAAAATAAAAGCAATCCTAGTCTCTGATAAAACAGACTTTAAACCAACAAAGATCAAAATAGACAAGGGCATTACATAATGGTAAAGGGATCAATGCAACAAGAGCTAACTATCCTAAATATGTATGCACCCAATACAGGAGCACCCAGATTCATAAAGCAAGTTCTTAGAGGCCTACAAAGAGACTTAGACTCCCACATAATAATAGTAGGAGTCTTTAACATCCCTCTGTCAATATTAGACAGATGAACAAGACAGAAAATTAACAAGGATATTCAGGACTTGAACTCAGCTCTGGACCAGGGGACTTAATAGACATCTACAAAACTCTCCACCCCAAATCAACAGAATATACATTCTTCTCAGCACCTCATCGCCCTTATTCTAAAATTGACCACATAATTGGAAGTGAAACATTCCTCAGAAAATGCAAAACAATGAAGTTGTAACAGTCTCTCAGACCACAGTGCAATCAAATTAGAACTTCGGATTACAAAACTCACTCAAAACCACACAACTACATGGAAACTGAACAAACTACTCCTGAATGACTACTAGGTAAATAATGAAATGAAGGCAGAAATAAAGATGTTCCATGAAACCAACGAGAACGAAGACACAATGTACCAGAATCTCTGGGACACAGCTAAAGCAGTGTTTAGAGGGAAACTTATAGCACTAAAATGTACACAGGAAAAAGCAGGAAAGATATAAAATTGACACCCTAACATCACAGGTAAAAGAACTAAAGAAGGAAGAGCAAACAAATTCTAAAGCTAGCAGAAGACAAGAAATAACTAAGATCAGAGCAGAACTGGAGGAGATAGAGACACAAAAAACTCTTAAAAAAATCAATGAATCCAGCAGTTGTTTTTTGGAAAAGATTAACAAAATCGATAGACTGCTAGCCAGATTAATAGAAAAGAGAGAAGAATCAAACAGACACAATAAAAAATGATAAAGGGGATATCACTGATCCCACAGAAATACAAACTACCATCAGAGAATACTATAAACACTTCTACGCAAATAAACTAGAAAATCTAGAAGAAATGGATAAATTCCTAAACACATACAGCCTCCCAAGTGTAAACCAGGAAGAAGTTGAATCCCTCAATAGACCAATAACAGTTCTGAAATTGAGGCAGTAATTAATAGCCTACGAGCCAAAAAAAAAAAAAAAAAAAAAAGTCCAGGACCAGATGGATTCACAGCTGGATTCTACTAGAGGTACATAGGGGACCCAGTACTATTCCTTCTGAAACTATTCCAAACAACAGAAAAAGAGGGACTCCTCCCTAACTTATTTTATAAGGC